TTCAGTCAGATCTCTGCATTGAAACAAGTGTGTCACTGGACCGCTTTCAGGTTATAAAAACACATACCTCTAATTTACACACAGGTCGATAAAAAAATGTTCATCTTAGAAATGACTTGTAGCGGATGCATTTAACGACGTAGTCTATTGCATGCCAATGGTCGGCACTTAATAACCTGACTTTGACACCTTAACTCATTTTATTTTAGTAGGATATTGGGGTTTTGATTTCCTTCAAAAAATAAAACGCTACATAATTCTGTTACCAGACATTGTCACCCGATATACAGAAAATAGTCTGTTTAATCAGAATACCAGTGGTCCTATATTCTCCAATCGCGTAGGAAGTTCGTCTAAAGAGGTCTGAGTCTCAGTCCATGCCTAAGAAGATAACGCATCACCGTAATAAAAACAAAGATTTTGAGTAGTAATCTTTAAATTTAGTATTTAGCAGTGTAATATGGTTAAAATTAGTGTCACCTCCATCAAAATGAGTGACCGCTTGATGATGGAAGCAATTGGACTGAACGTCTGAAAATTTTTGCGTATAATCCCAGAAGACAGTAATTTTCATACTCTCTTATCTCGTCGAAATAATAACTGTTTACACTGACAAACATACAGCGCCCACACATAAAGAGTTTACAGTTACTGAATATCAAAGCAGATGCTGCATTTTGTTTACACTACGATGCAAAAGGTTAATTGTCATACCCTCAGCACACGCGAAAATGAAGCATCGAGATTAGTGGTATAAACTCTTTTCTATCTACTCCCACGGCACTGTTTATTTTTTATAACGCTAGCGATATCTTTCTTAGCCATCTGTTTAGAAATATAACTCACTTACAACATTTTTGACTGTAGACATCTTGGAAAAGCGTCCATCGGCTTCTCACAACTGAGGTCCGATTTCGCTGCCGGGTAAGTCCATGTTTGATTTTTGGTGGATAAAACTGTATTGGGGTAGGTTTTTCTCTGCGTCTTTCAGTTTATCCTGTCAATATAACTACCGCTGCTCCATATTCACTCTTGTATCATCTGGGCGTTAGAGAACGGACTTCGTTAGCTGCTCAGTACCGCAGGGACATAATCTCACCCCATCACAACAGCAAAGAAAAGAGGATGGGAAATGGATAGAACTGGCTTAGGATATTTTAAAATGGCGTTTTAGTAGTGAAACCTAGTGGTTTTTCTAACACAGCCACTTAACTAACTCCTCGGAACAGATTCTTTCTTCGGAATCTGATCGTCTATTGTCGCTAGTCGATAATCGTTTCCAATATTAAGAGTTAAATAAATTAATGATCAACACATTTGAACTGTGATACAAACACTAGAAAGCTATGGCTATGCGTGATTTGGGAGCGTTATAAAGGAGGTTCGAAGAAGGAACCTGTAGAACAATTGAAATCTTAGTGCCCTAGAAGTTCTTCCCGTAAACACACAATGCTTTTCTGCATGAGCGAACGATTCTGTGATAGTGAAGAAAATGAGATACAAACAACGCAACCTTCCTGCCCAGTCTGTGATGTGTCTGAAGAAGAAGCAATGGAAAGTTGAGGATCCCACCCAGCTGGAGTAACGTAAGGTGAAACAACATAAATCTCTTGGTCGGCAGTTAGAGAGGTATCCCACCTGCCGAATCACCAATCTGCGAATGTAACAAAACTTCATTAGATCTGAGACACTTGCGGCTGGTAAGACGTCGATTGTGATCTTCAGAGTTTTGACTGCGAG